TCAAACAAGCATTAATAAAAGCTTAAAGAAAATTTAAAAATCGAGATCGAGAAATATTTTTTTTTTAAAATTTCTACTCTACAAATAAGCCAAAATCTGACATTTTAAATTTGTAAGTACATTTTATTGCAAATAAACACAGCCTATCTATATCAATTATTGGCAATATTTTCTACAAACTTTATATTTTATTTTATATATATAAAAATATAACTGGTTATAAATAATAAATATTAAATATAATTTAATCAGAATACAATATTATTTCACCAGTTAACTGTCAATCGTGTTAATTACTAAATTAGTAAACCCAGTGGGCGTAGCGAGGTAGGGTGTCACCCGGTGCGGGGGTGTCACCCCCCCAGAGGCGTAGCGACCCCTTCCCGGGGACAAATTTTCGATTTGCACCCCCCCCTCATACTTTCGATTTGCAACCCCCCCCTCAAGTTTTCGATTTGCACCCCCCCTTCAAACTTTCGCTTTGCACCCCTCTCAAGTTTTCGATTTGCACCCCCCCTCAAACTTTCGATTTGCACCCCCCCTTCAAACTTTCGCTTTGCACCCCTCTCAAGTTTTCGATTTGCACCCCTCCCCCTCAAACTTTCGATTTGCACACCCCCCCCTCAAGTTTTTTATCTATATTTTTGCTATTTTTTGCCTTGGTGTCACCCCCCCCCCCCCCCTAAATGGTGTCACCCGGTGCGGTCCGCACCCCTCGACCCCTCCGCCTCGCTACGCCTCTGAGTAAACCTTTCCTTTAGTCTTATTTCAGCACGAGGCCATGTAATCTCTATTACTATAAATGTATGCATTTTAAAAGTGTCCCGTGTTATAAAAACAGAAGTGCTTTTATTTTATGTCTTCTTAAGAATGGGACGTAATTCATTTTTCCCCAGTATTTTCCCTTACTAAACAAAATTTGAAGTAAACAACAATTTGTTTTTTTTTTTTTTCATTGTAAAATGTATAGATCTAGATCTAGATCAAATGTAAACAAACATAGCATAACTAGGTCATATGGTGATTATTATACGTTTTTAAAAAAAATATTTACAAATAAGGTTAAAATTTCGAGTTGAAGTAGATCTAGATCTAGATTCTAGAAAGATACGAAACCTTAAAGGGTAAAATGTATGCTCAAGTTATCAGCATTTGCAACTATGATATGATTGATTCTTAAAATATTAAATTTCTGAATTTTTTAATCAGCTTCAGATTTTTTATTATTTTTTAAAAATTATTATTCTTTACGATCACTATAAAGTCAACATAAAAAAAAACATGCTAATTAACAACAATGATCGAAGGCATCTCACCAGACTTTGTGCATGCCATTGATTAGTTTTTTCCTAACTACCGTAACAACGCCTTGCTACCACTTCTTCATAATTAATTGGATAATTAATGGCTATTTCCTCCAACACAATGGATGAAGTATTGCATGTCGCTATGTAATGTGACATAATACCCGTTTACTCAGACTTTTGCCTGGTTTCTAGTGTTTCTTCCACCAGGGGGGGGGGGGGGGGGGGGGGGGGAGGCGGACTAAAATTTCCGGGGAAGGGGGGCGGACACTGTTAAAATTATATATCCTATATAAATTCCATTTCGTTCGAGGGGGGGGGGGGGTAGACTCTCTTCAGGGGGGGGGGGGTAAGCTCTCTTCGGGGGGGGGGGGGGAAGGGGGGCTCCGCCTGGAAGAAACTCTGCTGGTTTCTTTTTGTCAGCAGTTGTTGGATTTTGGAGTTGTCTCTCCTAGATCATTTGTTGTCCCTCAGCTAACGAGCCTCATCTGCATTGGTGAACGAGTGTATTTTTTAGATGAGTTGAACATTGTAAGGTACGGGTACCAACACACTCTTCCCATGGAATACAAAACAACAAAGTATAAAGGTGTTATATAACCCCGCCCCTCGTAACTACGGACCAATAAAATAAACGCCTCACGTTAAGTAACTGTGGCACACACGAAACGCTCTTAAAATAAATATGGGATACAGGGGCGTAGCGAGGGGAGGGGGGGGGGGGGCGTGGGTGCGGACCGCACCGGGTGACACCATTTAGGGGGGGGTGACACCAAGGCAAAAAATAGCAAAATATACAGTGAAAAACTTGAGGGGGGTTGCAAATCGAAAGTTTGAGGGGGGGGGGGGTGCAAATCGAAAACTTGAAAGTTTGTCCCCGGTAGAGGCGTATTGAGGGGGGGACGGACATATGTCCCCGGGCGCCGACCTGAGGGGGGGGGTGCAAATAAAAAGTTCGAGGGGAGTGCAAATCGAAAGTTTGTCCCCGGGCGCCGGGAAGGGTTGCTACGCCTCTGGTCCCCGGGAAGGATCGCTACACCTCTGGGGGGTGACACAATTAAGTGCCGCACCGGGTGACACCCGACCTCGCTACGCCACTGATGGGATATAATATGTTTGTATATTTGTATACATGGAAATTGTTTCTTTTTCCCTCTCAAACTCATTCACTCACACACACACATACATGCGCAATGTAAACAAAAAAAAATCCAGCTCACTATGAGTAATTTTTGTAAGTTATGACGAGTATGAAATATAAAGTAAGTAAAGTATCATGCAATATGATGCTAGGTACCATGTATGCTACTCTCATGAGTAAGGTCAAGTCCATCCATGTCACGGTGCCTGCCGTGCCAGTTGTCCAGCGAGGGCTGAGCACATCCATTCTGGAACACGCAAAGCCTGGAGATCTGCTGGAGTTTAAGAGAGGGGTGTACTCACACTGGGCTGTATACACAGGTAGGTGGTGTACAGGTAGGTGGTGTACAGGTAGATGGTGTACAGGTAGGTGGTGTACAGGTAGGTGGTGTACAGGTAGGTAATGTACAGGTAGGTGGTGTACTCACACTGGGCTGTATACACAGGTAGGTGGTGTACAGGTAGGTGGTGTACTCACACTCGGCTGTATACACAGGTAGGTGGTGTACAGGTAGGTGGTGTACAGGTAGATGGTGTACAGGTAGGTGGTGTACAGGTAGGTAGTGTACAGGTAGGTGGTGTACAGGTAGGTGGTGTACAGGTAGGTGGTGTACAGGTAGGTGGTGTACAGGTAGGTGGTGTACAGGTAGGTGGTGTACAGGTAGGTGGTGTACAGGTAGGTGGTGTACATATATATGGTGTACAGGTAGGTGGTGTACAGGTAGATAGTGTATAGTGTACAGGTAGGTGGTGTACAGGTAGGTGGTGTACAGGTAGGTGGTGTACAGGAAGATGGTGTACAGGTAGGTGGTGTACAGGAAGATGGTGTACAGGTAGGTGGTGTACAGGTAGGTGGTGTACAGGTAGGTGGTGTACAGGTAGGTGGTGTACAGGTAGGTGGTGTACAGGTAGATAATGTACTGGTAGGTGATGTACATGTAGGTGGTGTACAGGTAGATGGTGTACAGGTAGGTGGTGTACTCACACTGGGCTGTATACACAGGTAGGTGGTGTACAGGTAGGTGGTGTACAGGTAGGTGGTGTACAAGTAGATGGTGTACAGGTAGGTGGTGTACAGGTAGGTGGTGTACAGGTAGATGGTGTACAGGTAGATAATGTACTGGTAGGTGATGTACATGTAGGTGGTGTACAGGTAGATGGTGTACAGGTAGGTGGTGTACTCACACTGGGCTGTATACACAGGTAGGTGGTGTACAGGTAGGTGGTGTACAGGTAGGTGGTGTACAAGTAGATGGTGTACAGGTAGGTGGTGTACAGGTACATAGTGTACAGGTAGATGGTGTAGATGTAGGTGGTGTACAGGTAGGTGGTGTACAGGTAGGCAGTGTACATGTAGGTGGTGTACTCACACTGGGCTGTATACACAGGTAAGTGGTGTACAGGTAGGTGGTGTACAGGTAGGTGGTGTACAGGAAGATGGTGTACAGGTAGGTGGTGTACAGGTAGGTGGTGTACAGGTAGATGGTGTAGAGGTAGGTGGTGTACAGGTAGATGGTGTACAGGTAGGTGGTGTACAGGTAGATAGTGTACAGATATATGGTGTACAGGTAGATGGTGTACATGTAGGTGGTGTACATGTAGATAGTGTACATGTTGGTGGTGTACATGTAGATGGTGTACATGTAGATGGTGTACAGGTAGATAGTGTACATGTAAGTGGTGTACATGTAGATGGTGTACAGGTAAATAGTGTACAGGTAGGTGGTGTACAGGTAGGTGGTGTACAGGTAGATGGTGTACAGGTATATGGTGTAGAGGTAGGTGGTGTACATATATATGGTGTACAGGTAGGTGGTGTAGAGGTAGGTGGTGTACAGATATATGGTGTACAGGTAGATGGTGTACACGTAAATGTTGTACATGTAGATGGTGTATAGGTAGATGGTGTAAAGATAGATGGTGTAAAGGTAAATGTTGTACAGGAAGGTGGTTTATTGTATATGGTGTACACGTAGATGGTGTACAGATATATGGTGTACAGGTAGGTGGTGTACTGGTAGGTAGTGTACAAGTAGGTGGTGAACATGTAGATGGTGTACAGGTAGATAGTGTACACGTAGATGCTGTACAGGTAGATGGTGTACAGGTAAATGGTGTACAGTTAGATGGTGTACAGGTAGATATGTACAGGGAGATGGTGTACATGTGGATGGTGTACATGTGGATGGTGTACAGGTAGGTGGTGTACAGGTAGAAGTTGAACAGGTAAATGGTGTACAGGTAAATGGTGTACAGGTAGATGGTGTACAGGTCAGTACTGTACATGTAGTTGCTACACATGTAGGTATTGTGAATACACTTTCTCACTTGTAAACACTGTGCCACTTTGAAGTGTTTATTGTAGTGTGTTTAAACGCACGCATTTTTGTTATTAACTCAGCTGTGCCTACCATATTTACCTGTAGTTTTCAGGGATATGTTCATGACCAAACTCTAGCATATAGTTAAAGATATTAATATATATGTCCCCCCCCCATCCATAATTAACGTGTATACTCATTAACATAAGCTGTGATGGGTTTAAAAAATGTGGCCTTACCACAAATCCCAAACTCTATTTTTAACTTTACGGAAATCTCCGCTGTACACTCTTTGTTCAACCTTTACATCCAGGTGACGGTAAGGTCATTCACTTCACCGGGGGTGAAGATAAATTCAACTACAATAATGCCATGATCCAGAGTGATGAATTGTGGAAGGTCGCAGGTTCGAGTCCAGGTTTTGTCAATAACATATTGGACCACGAATTAAAGTACGTTTGTTTGTGTGTAAGGTTTTGTGTATCAAGACAACTGAAGGTGTGTGGTGTGGATGGGTATGCTGGTGTTGTTTAGGTGTTTGATGTGGATGGATGATACTGTTTAGGTGTGTGATGGATGTGGATGGATGATGTTGTTTAGGTGTGATGTGGATGGATGATGTTGTTTAGGTGTGATATGCATGTGTTTTGTTGTGAAGGTGTATATCTCCGATCTGGGTTGTTCGGTTGTTTAGGTGCCATACGGAATGTTAAAGTGTATGATATAGATGGTGTTTTTAGGTTATAATGCAGATGCGTGTGTTATTGTTTAGGTGTTGATGTAGATAGCTAATGTGTAGTAGATACTTTCGTGTGTTGATGTAGCTAATGTGTAGTAGATACTTTCGTTTGTTGATGTAGATAGCTAATGTGTAGTAGGTACTTTCGTGTGTTGATGTAGATAGCTAATGTGTAGTAGATACTTTCGTTTGTTGATGTAGATAGCTAATGTGTTATAGGTACTTTCGTGTGTTGATGTGGATGTCCTGAGATTATGTTTATCTCCTGTACTCTACTCGCTGTGTACAAAAAAATAAAAGAATAAAATATAGTTAATTTAACATATTTAACACGAACACAGAAGTCTACCGACAGAGGTGATTCTAGAGAACGCTACTAGCAAACTTGGTGCTACAGGCTACAATCCTGTGTTTGCTAACTGCGAGCATTTCGCTACCTGGTGCAGGTATGGAACGGCAAGAAGCATACAGGTAACTAGCGTCGTGTATTTTAGATATGCTGCTCATTCTTTCATTTATGGTTAGGTTAAATAAAAAAAAATTAATAACTGCTACTTTTCATGAGTTTTTAATAAAAAATGCAATACATCTAAATTCTGCAGAATTTAATTTTTCTATGTAAGAAAAAAAATCTATTGCTAAATTTTTTTTTAAATGAAAAGTTAAAAAAAAAAAAAATGGCCAAAAAAAACTGTACTGAACAAAACTAAAAAGATGACTCACAATATCCTTGTCTAATATTTAAAAAATCTCCATCAGTGAATTCTCTCGTTTCTAAAAATTCCAAAATCAAATTGTCCCTAAGATGTCCCTATCTACAATGCTTCATATGTCCGAAAATGTCCATGTCTAAAGGTACCCATGCCTAAAAAAGTTTTAAATTTTTAAAATATTTCTGCCAATCAGGTTGAAGCCGTGCGAGAAGCGATGGTTACTATGACAACCCAAGCCCAAAAGACTCTGGACCAGAGAGTGCAAACGGAGTCCACACAAAAGGTGAGTCTTCGTGTTAGACTTGGATAGTAATCATCAGGTGGATGATACTTCAGGGTGAAGAGTATCAATCAGGATATAGATTTTTTAATCAGGATATAGATTATCATTCAGGATATAGATTATCAATCAGGATATAGATTTTCAATCAGGATATAGATTATCAATCAGGATATAGATTACCAATCAGGATATAGTTTATCAATCAGGATATAGATTATCAATCAGGATATAGATTACCAATCAGGATATAGTTTATCAATCAGGATATAGATTACCAATCAGGATATAGATTACCAATCAGGATATAGTTTATCAATCGGGATACAGATTATCATAGAGGATATAGATTATCATTCAGGATATGGTGAAGCCATTAGGATATGGATACCACATAAAGATGAATTTAATATTTTTCATTACGATATGGATAACACATAAGGATGTGTTCACTGCGACATGATCTGGACATAGCATTATAATGTGGATAATAGATCATAATGTGGATAATAGATCATAATGTGGATAATCGATCATAATGTGGATAATAGATCATAATGTGGATAATAGATCATAATGTGGATAATAGATCATAATGTGGATAATAGATCATAATGTGGATAATAGATCATAATGTGGATAATAGATCATAATGTGGATAATAGATCATAATGTGGATAATAGATCATAATGTGGATGAAAGATTAGGGTTGAGTAATACATGATGTGATTAATATTATATTTCATATAATTTAATGTGGGTGATATTAATTAATTATTAATTAAATATGAGGATATTGGAATGTTGATAGCCAATCGGCATGTGTAATATATAAGGATGTGTATATTACATCAGCATATGTATATTACATCAGCATGTGCATAATACATCGAATTGTGTATAATAGTGAATAGTACGTGACATAGTAATTGTGAAACAATTGTGAGGAAGTATGACGTGTTACCTCACAATGACGTGTTTTAGCTTGAATTATGTGACGTGGTGATTGTGTAAGAATTACATTGTATGACACAGTATGATTGGGTGATAACCTGATTGCATGACAGCATGATTGTGTGAGTCAATCATATCATAACAGCATGATTGTATATAAACCTTCACATATCTACAGCACGATTGTGCGATAGTTTGATTGTATAACAGCGTGATTTTGTGACAGTTTGATTGTATAGCAGCATGATTGTGTGACATTTTAATTGTATCGCAGCATGATTGTGTCACAGTTTGATTGTATAGCAGCATGATTGTGTGACAGTTTGATTGTATAGCAGCATGATTGTGCGAGTGTTTGATTGTATAACAGCATGATTGTGTGACTGTTTGATTGTATAGCAGCATGATTGTGTGACAGTTTAATTGTATAGCAACATGATTGTGTGACTGTTTGATTGTTTAGCAGCATGATTGTGTGACAGTTTGATTGTATAGCAACATGATTGTGTGATAGTTTGATTGTATAAGCATGATTGTGTGACTGTTTGATTGTATAGCAGCATGATTGTGTGACAGTTTGATTGTATAGAAGCATGATTGTGTGGCAATGTGATTGTATAGCAGCTTGCTTGTGTGGCAGTTTGATTATATAGCAGCATGATTGTGTGCCAGTTTGATTGTATAGCAGCATGATTGTGTGGCAATGTGATTGTATAGCAGCTTGCTTGTGTGACAGTTTGATTGCGTGAACGTATGAGATTGTGATGGGGTGACATCGTGCTTGTGTGTGAAACAATCTCATAAATCTGACGCGAATGATGACGTGTCACGATATGAATGGATCCCTCACTTTATAAAAGGCTTCTCACAACAAAAACAATGTATTTTAGGATCGGGATATAGCCAAGCTTTTGATGGCTCACTGTCGCAATCTCTATCTGTTGGGAGATTTCTTCTATAGACAGAACCTGGACGAGGAGGTGAGAAAATGTACCTGTATATTTACCTGTCGGGTGACCGTAGACATAATCTAAATAAAACAGGTGAGAAAAGGTACCTGTGACAGTAGACATAATCTGAATAAAACAGGTGAGAAAATGTACCTGTGACAGTAGACATAATCTGAATAAAACAGGTGAGAAAATGTATCTGTAAGCTTACTTGACATGTGACACTGTTGTTTTTTAAATTTATTCACAATTATAGAATAACGAGCTGACCCGCGACGTAGCATACGCCGCCATCTAGTTGTTTTATTTTCTGCTTATCTGCAGTTCATAATTTCTGAATTCAACACTACCCTATCCCGCCCTACCCCAGGTGGGGGATGAGGATGGTGGATAAATTGCGTGGTGTTTTCAATGGTCTCCATGAAAAGAATTATATATACGAGCCGACCCGCGGCATATCATATGCCGCTATTTAGTTGTTTTATTTTCTACTTTTCAGTAATTCATAATTTGTGCATTCGACAGTACTAACGCTGCCACTGAAAATATTTGCTTTAAAACACTATCAGTATGTTCGCGTTAGTGTTTTCTTTGTGTTTAGGTGGGTTTGCGTTAGTGGTTGCGTTTTGATTTGGTTCGTTTTTGTTCTTTCTTTTTTCGTTTTTTTTTGTGTTTTTTTCTTTGGGTTTGTATTTGTGTTTTTGGCTGGTTTTGCGTTTGGATTTGGTTTGTTTTCGTTTGCTTTTTCGTTGTTTTTTTTGTGTTGGTATTGGTGTTTGTGGTTGGGTTTGTTGTTAGGTTTTTGTTTTCGTTTGCTTTTTTGTTTGTTTTTTCTTTGTGTTTGTATTGGTGTTTGTGGTTGTGTTTGTTGTTAGGTTTTTGTTTTCGTTTGTATTTGTAATTGTGTTAGCGTTATGTTTGCGTTTTGTTGTTTTGGTTTTGGTTGGTTGTGATTTGGGTGGGCAATGCCGGGTTTATGATGATTACTAAACACACAGGTAATGGTCTTTAACAGAAAGGTTTTTCACAGAAGCCAGAGCAGGGCCTGGCCGGGACGGCTAGTTATATATATAAAAGATAACGTGATGTGTAGATGGGTGCTACCTTTGTTTCAATTCACAGCTAACATAGCCTAAACATTTATAAATATAAATACTGCGCTATATAAACTATTGTTACATTTTATTTCCATCAGAAAATAATTGAATCGCCTGCACTTTGCATGGTCAAGCAAAACGTTTTGTATTTTTCTCATCACAACTCTAAGTTCTGCCACAGATGTTAACTTTTGTCAGATTATTCCACCCTGTAGGCTGATATCATTCATTAATAACATCCCCCCCCCCCCACACACCCCCTTTTACACATTTAGATCATCCCAAAATTGTGTCATCTTCGACATGTGTTCCAACACACACCTTATATATATATATATATATATATATATATATATATATATATATATATATATATATATATATATATATATATATATATATATATATATAAAAACACAATTTTATGTCACGTGATGTTTGTATTGCTGTATTGGTAACATCCAATTCAATTTTAGAACATTTGTTGTTTGTAGCTGAAGAAGGTCCAACAAAAGACCGAGGAAGGACAACCGAGGCGGGTGGGAAACAAACACACTCGTCGTTACAAGAAGTAAACATGACTGAAATCAAAAGAAGTAAACATAGCTGAATCTCTAGCTCTGAAGCTTGTGTTTTTTTTTAATTTGTTGATGTAAAAATTAGAATGAGTTATACATGTATTGATGTTTGTTGTCATTGGAGCTTATCAGCGTGTGTTTGTGTATGAGTGTGTTTATGCGTGTGTTTGTGCGTGAGTGAGTTTGTGCGTGAGTTTGTTTATGTGTGAGTGTGTTTGTGTGTGTATTGTTGAAAAAAAATTCAGACCTGGCGATCACATAGGACAGACAAAAGTTCATTTGTTTCTCAATTCTGTGATCTCGGCACATTGTTGGAGAGATGGTCAGTTCTAAGAACATCCGAGTTTACTATTCCTAAAATCAGCTGGGTACTCATCACAGCTGGGTGGACTCAGGGACGAATCCGAGCTCTAGGATTGTCAATCTTGCTCTCTACACTTCCTGTTGACATAGGCCGACTCTAGGATCAAAGCCCAGGCGATATAGTGTCTCGTTGAGTTGTATTATTTACAGCGGTACCGCTGGTTGGGTTAGTGGCATTGTCAGTGTTTCTTTCAGACTTTTTCAGGGGGGGGAATGGGATGGTGCAATTTTATTTTCTATATAAATTCTTTTTCGTTCTGGGGTGGGGGGGGGGGGGGGCTTAAAGTAACTCTGATCACTGTTAAGATGCTGTCTTCCTCAGCAGTACATGTAAGGGGTCATCCATAAATGACGTCTTACTCGTAGGGGATTGAAGCCCCCCCCCGAAAAAATTTTACCGCCCCCCCCGAACGAAATGAAATTTATATAATTTATATAGAAAATATATACTTTTAACAGTGTCCGCCCCCCCCCCCCCCCCCGAAGAAAGTCTACCGCCCCCCCGAAAATTTCAAGTGCCCCCCCGGAGAAAAAAGTCTGGAAGAAACACTGTACGCTACTGCCTAGAGCTATCAGCGATTGAAAGGGAAAACCCCCAACACCATATTTATGATAGTTTTTGACCCAGTTAACGATCACAGAAATTCCCGATTGATAGCAACAAAATTTGCCGTGACTATTTTTAAAAAAAAACAGAAATTTGTCGTGTAACGATTTATAGCACCTTAAATTTGACTTGAAACGATTTATAGCAACATAATTTTGATTTGTAACGATTTATAACAGAAGAAATTTGACTCGTTCAAGACGAGGACATCCTATTTATAGCTGCACGTTTTCAAACAAGAATTGGCACGATAAAAAACGGAAGTCAGCTGTTAATGATTTTTAAAGGAATCGGCAACGAAACAAAACTCACATAATGTAGAAAGAAAATATATTTTAATGCTGTTACCTTGTAATCCGTAAAGCTCATGATAAGCTGTTGTATGTAAGGGTGAGGTTCGTATCTCGAGAATTTATCTGATCTGGAAAGCCCATGATAAGCTGTTGTAAGGGTGAGGTTCGAATCTCGAGAAGTTAGTTCGCGCTGCTTTGTAAAGTTTCATGGCAGTATCAATTTTTCAACCCACTATTTTTAATTAGCCATAGTCATCTATATATCTAATACTGTAGGCCTACTGTACTCACCCATACTTAAAACTAAATAGAGCTGTACTCTGCAAGTAAACACACCTTTAGATTTTTTTTTACACTGGATGGGATTTATTTAAATTAAAAATGCATTTCGATTTAGGTATTGTAACACTGATTGTATTTACAATAATTAATTAACGGAGTTTAGGATTGGTTATTTCCTATTATTATATAAGTTTGATTTTTCTTAACTAAAATTGTGTGTGATAATAACTACATAATAAATTCAACTAAATGATGTAGATATTTAAAATAAGTTTTGTATTGCTACTCGTTTGACGTGGAAGTGAAGATATTTTTTTAAACTGTAACAAACACTACATTACTTCAGCACTACAAGTATTACGTGTTAATTAAAATTAATTTTTTAAAACGATAACAAAAAACATTTCTTCAGCATAACTAGAGCAGATAAATAGAAATTTGTTTTAGGTGCCCGAAAATGGCGGCATGGGGTCAAAGGGGATTGAGTCAAGGTCATGGACATGACAAAGACGCTGAAAAGAAAAGCATAAGGAAACAGAACGAGGCTGTTGTTCAGAAGGCCAAGGGTCGGCGACTTGTTGGAGTTTCAGAGGGGGGTGTACTCACACTGGGCAGTGTTTGCAGGTAGGTGTGTGGGGGTACTCACACTGGGCGGTGTTTGCAGGTAGGTGTGTGGGGGTACTCACACTGGGCGGTGTTTGCAGGTAGGTGTGTGGGGGGTACTCACACTGGGCGGTGTTTGCAGGTAGGTGTGTGGGGGGTACTCACACTGGGCGGTGTTTGCAGGTAGGTGTGTGGGGGTACTCACACTGGGCGGTGTTTGCAGGTAGGTGTGTGGGGGAAGTGTGGGGGGTACTCACACTGGGCGGTGTTTGCAGGTAGGTGTGTGGGGGGGGGTACTCACACTGGGCGGTGTTTGCAGGTAGTGTGTGTGGGGGGGGAGGTGTGGGGGTACTCACACTGGGCAGTGTTTGCAGGTAGGTGTGTGGGGGTACTCACACTGGGCGGTGTTTGCAGGTAGGTGTGTGGGTGGTACTCACACTGGGCGGTGTTTGCAGGTAGGTGTGTGGGGGGTACTCACACTGGGCGGTGTTTTGCAGGTAGGTGTGTGGGGGTACTCACACTGGGCGGTGTTTGCAGGTAGGTGTGTGGGGGAAGTGTGGGGGGGTACTCACACTGGGCGGTGTTTGCAGGTAGGTGTGTGGGGGGGGGTACTCACACTGGGCGGTGTTTTCAGGTAGTGTGTGTGGGGGTACTCACACTGGGCTGTGTTTGCAGGTAGGTGTGAGGGGGGAGGTGTGGGGGGTAATCACAGTGGGCTGTGTTTGCAGGTAGGTGTGAGGGGGGAGGTGTGGGGGTAATCACAGTGGGCTGTGTTTGCAGGTAGGTGTGAGGGGGGAGGTGTGGGGGTACTCACACTGGGCGTGTGTTTGCAGGTAGGTGTGAGGGGGGAGGTGTGGGGGTACTCACACTGGGCTATGTTTGCAGGTAGTGTGTGTGGGGGAGGTGTGGGGGGTACTCACACTGGGCAGTGTTTGCAGGTAGGTGTGTGGGGGGGTTACTCACACTGGGCGGTGTTTGCAGGTAGGTGTGTGGGGGTACTCACACTGGGCGGTGTTTGCAGGTAGGTGTGTGGGGGGCGGTGTTTGCAGGTAGGTGTGTGGGGGGGGGGGGTACTCACACTGGGCGGTGTTTGCAGGTAGGTGTGTGGGGGGTACTCACACTGGGCGGTGTTTGCAGGTAGTGTGTGTGTGGGGGAAGTGTGGGGGGTACTCACACTGGGCGGTGTTTGCAGGTAGGTGTGTGGGGGGTACTCACACTGGGCGGTGTTTGCAGGTAGGTGTGTGGGGGGGGTACTCACACTGGGCGGTGTTTGCAGGTAGTGTGTGTGGGGGGAGGTGTGGGGGTACTCACACTGGGCTGTGTTTGCAGGTAGGTGTGAGGGGGGAGGTGTGGGGGTAATCACAGTGGGCTGTGTTTGCAGGTAGGTGTGAGGGGGGAGGTGTGGGGGGTACTCACACTGGGCTATGTTTGCAGGTAGTGTGTGTGGGGGAGGTGTGGGGTACTCACACTGGGCTGTGTTTGCAGGTAGGTGTGAGGGGGAGGTGTGGGGGTAATCACAGTGGGCTGTGTTTGCAGGTGGGTGTGTGGGGGGAGGTGTGGGGGTACTCACACTGGGCTGTGTTTGCAGGTAGTGTGTGTGGGGTTTGTGTGGGGTGTATTTACTGGTAGATTGGTATGTAGGTAGGTTGGACGTTGTATGTGCTGGTATATTGGAAGAAATGTATTCGGGTAGGTTGGGGTGGTGTGTAGGTAGGTTGGAGTGTGTGTAGGTAGGTTGGGTTGTGTGTAGGTAGGTTGGGTGTGTAGTAGGAGCTGGGGTGTGTGTAGGTAGGTTGGGGTGGTGTAGGTAGGTTGGGTGTGTGTAGGTAGGTTGGGGTGTATGTAGGTAGACTGGGGTGTGTGAGGTAGGTTGGGGTGTGTGTAGGTAGGTTGGGTGTGTGTAGGATAGGTTGGGGTGTATGTAGGTAGACTGGGGTGTGTGTAGGTAGGTTGGGGTGTGTGTAGGTAGACTGGGGTGTGTGTAGGTAGGTTGGGGTGTGTGTAGGTAGACTGGGGTGTGTGTAGGTAGGTTGGGGTGTGTGTAGGTAGACTGGGGTGTGTGTAGTAGGTTGGGGTGTGTGTAGGTAGACTGGGGTGTGTGTAGGTAGGTTGGGGTGTGTGTAGGTAGACTGGGGTGTGTGTAGGTAGGTTGGGTGTGTGTAGGTAGACTGGGGTGGTGGTGTAGGTAGGTTGGGGTGTGATGTAGGTAGACTGGGGTGTGTGTAGGTAGGTTGGGGTGTGTGTAGGTAGACTAGGGTGTGTGTAGGTAGGTTGGGGTGTTGTGTGTAGGTAGTTGGGGTATGTGTGTGTAGGTAGGTTGGGGTGTGTGTGTAGGTAGGTTGGGGGGTGTGTGTGTGTAGGTAGGTTGGGGTGTGTGTAGTTAGGTTGGGTGAGTCTGTTGTGGTAGGTAGGTTGGGTGTGTGTATAAGCAGGTTGGGGTGTGTGTAGTTAGGTGGTGTGTGTGTGTGTAGGTAGGTTGGGGTGTGTGTAGGTAGGTAGGGGTGTGTGTAGGTAGGTTGGAGGTGTGTGTGTAGGTAGGTTGGGGTGTGTGTAGTTACGCTGGGTGTGTGTAGGTATGTTGGGTGTGTGTAGGTAGGTTGGGTGTGAGTGTGTAGGTAGGTTTGGTGTGTGTAAGTAGGTTGGGGTAGTGTGTAGGTCTGGTTTATGTGATGTATAGGTAAGGTTTGGGTGTGTGTAGGTAGGTTGGGGTTGTGTGTAGGTAGGTTGGGTTGTGTAGGTAGAGTGGGTGTGTGTGTGTAGGTTAGGTGTTTGTAGGTAGGTTAGGGTGTCTGTTCACAGGTCAATATTTCCCCTCAGTCTTACATGTATGTGAATGTTCCTACAGGTAACGGGAAGATAATTCACTTTGCTGGAGAGCGAGCAAATATTGACGCTGAGCAAGCCACGGTCAGGTTGATGAGTTCTGGGAGGTCGCGGGTTCGAGTCCAGTTGTGATCAACAATATACTGGATAATGAGTACAGGTGAGATAAGGGTGTGGGGGTGGGAGGTATGGGGTGGGAGGTGTGGGGTGGAAGGTGTGGGGTGAAAGGTAAGGGTTGGAAAGTGTGGGGTGGGAGGGTGTGGGGTAGAGGTGTGGGTAGGAGATGTGGGGTGGAAAGTGGGGTAAAATGTGTGGGGTTGAAAGTGTGGGGTAAAAGGTGTAGGGTGGAAAGTGTGGGGTGAGAAGGGTGGGGTGGGAAAGTGTGGGTAAAAGGTGTGGGGTGGAAAGTGTGGGTGAGAAGGGTGGGGTGAAAGTGTGGGTGAGAAGTGTGGGTGGAAAGTGTGGGGTAAAAGGTGTGGGTGAGAAGGGTGGGGGGAAGGTGGTGGGGGAAGGTGTGCGGGAAGGGGGAGGTGTGGGGTGGGAGGTGTGCGTTGAAAGGTTTTAGTTGGAAGTGTGGTAGATGAAGATGGGGGGAGAGGCGAGGCGTAGGGAGAAGTGTATTATGGAAGTGTGGGGTATAGAGGTAAGGGTTAGTTTTAGGGGTGGAAGTGTGGGGTTCGAGATTTTGGGGATCGGTGTGCGAGGGATAGAAGCGTGGTAGGTGAAGATGACGAGGTGGACGAGGTGGTGTGGGGTATAAAAGTGTGGGTTATGGAGTTAAGGAGGCGTAGGTGTGTGGTTTCAAGTTGTAGGTGATAGGGGTGTGAGGATGGCGGCGGTGGGTGGGGGGGGGGAGGATGGAGTTGTGTAGAAAACACATTGATGTCTATGACAACACACCTATCTGGTAAAACTATCGAGGAATCTCCAGCTCCAATGTACTGAACAGGTGGGTTATCAATGTCCCACTTTCTATTGACTGCTCCTTTCTATTGACTGCCCACTCCTGTTTATCGCATCACAGTCATCTGCCTGCTGGGGAGATTTTAATGAACGCGACTAGCAAACTTGGTGCTACGGGCTACGATGTGGTGTGTGCTAACTGCGAGCATTTCGCTACCTGGTGCAGGTATGGGAAGGCAAGAAGCATACAGGTGGGCAGACAGCTGTGTTTGTGAGCATTAGATTTTATACTTATAAATTTCATAGACTACACCGACAGGGACAAACTGCCGACACTGACAAATTTTTTAAAGTGTAAGATGTTGTTGATGTTGTTGATGTTGTTGATGTAGTTGATGTTGTTGATGTAGTTGATGTTGTTGATGTTGTTGATGTAGTTGATGTTGTTGATGTAGTTGATGTTCATGTAGTTGATGTAGTTGATGTTGTTGATGTTGTTGATGTTGACGTTGTTGATGTTGTTGATGCTGTTGATGTTGACGTTGTTGATGTTGTTGATGTTGTTGATGTTGTTGATGTTGTTGATGTTGTTGATGTTTTTGATGTTTTTGATGTTGTTGTTGATGTTGTTGATGTTTTTGATGTTGACGTTGTTGATGTTGTTGATGTTGTTGATGTTGTTGATGTAGTTGATGTTGTTGATGTAGTTGATGTTCATGTAGTTGATGTAGTTGATGTTGTTGATGTTGTTGATGTTGACGTTGTTGATGTTGTTGATGCTGTTGATGTTGACGTTGTCGATGTTGTTGATGTTGTTGATGTTGTTGATGTTGTTGATGTTGTTTGATGTTTTTGATGTTTTTGATGTTGTTGTTGATGTTGTTGATGTTTTTGATGTTGACGTTGTTGATGTTGTTGATGTTGTTGATGTTGTTGATGTAGTTGATGTTGTTGATGTAGTTGATGTTCATGTAGTTGATGTAGTTGATGTTGTTGATGTTGTTGATGTTGACGTTGTTGACGTTGTTGATGTTGTTGATGTAGTTGATGGTGTTGATGTAGATTGTTGTTGTTGATGTTTTTGATGTTGTTGATGTTGTTGATGTTGACGTTGTTGATGTTGTTGATGTTGTTGATGTTGTTGATGTTGTTGATGTTTTTGATGTTTTTGATGTTGTTGTTGATGTTGTTGATGTTTTTGATGTTGTTGATGTTGTTGATGTTGACGTTGTTGATGTTGTTGATGTAGTTGATGGTGTTGATGTAGATTGTTGTTGTTGATGTTTTTGATGTTGTTGATGTTGTTGATGCAGGTCGAGAGAGTGAAACACACCGTCAGTAGCTACGCTGGTAAGATCAGAGACAATCTGGTGGAGCTGGCACAACGAGGAAACCCGACGGTAAGTTGAATATTGATATAATGGGTTAAGTTTAGTAATGTTGTAATGGGTTAAGTTTAGTATTGTTGTAATGGGTTAAGTTTAGTAGTGTTGTAATGGGTTAAGTTTAGTAGTGTTGTAATGGGTTAAGTTAGTAGTGTTGTAATGGGTTAAGTTTAGTAGTGTTGTAATGGGTTAAGTTTAGTAGTGTTGTAATGGGTTAAGTTTAGTAGTGTTGTAATGGGTTAAGTTTAGTAGTGTTGTAATGGGTTAAGTTTAGTAGTGTTGTAATGGGTTAAGTTTAGTAGTGTTGTAATGGGTTAAGTTTAGTAGTGTTATAATGGGTTAAGTTTAGTAGTGTTGTAATGGGTTAAGTTTAGTAGTGATAGAATGGGTTAAGTTTAGTAATGTTGTAATGGGTTAAGTTTAGTAATGTTGTAATGGGTTAAGGTTGTTATGTTGTAATGGGACAATAATTGTTGAGGTGTGTATAGTGATTTTGGGGGGGGGGGGGGGGGGGAGAGATAGAGAAGAGTTGATTGGCCTCAAATGGGGGAGGAAGTGGCCGTCTGAATCAGTGACGTAGGTAGAAATGGTTTCTGTTGGGGGGGGGGGGGGAGTAATAGTTAAAATTGTCAATTCGTATACATACATAAATTTAAGACCCTTAAAAAAATTCCTTCAATATATATATATATATATATATATATATATATATATATATATATATATATATATATATATATATATATATATATATAATATATATATATATATATATATATGCAATATATAAGTGTGTATGGGAACAGGGCATTTTGCCCCCCCCTGTCAATTACCCCCCCGGATATTTCCCCCCCCCCCCCCCCCCGACATTACCCCCCAGAGTAATTACCCGCCCTGTCAATTACCCCCCTGTCAATTACCCCCCGCCCAGTAGGACATTACCCCCCCCCCCCCCCCCGGACAGGGTTAGAGTTTAGGGTTAGGGTTAGGGCAGAGGCGTATCGGGGTTTCGTTGTAGGGGGAGCGAAAAGAGCAAAAATGGCGCTAAATTTTGAACACGTTCTATATACGTGTATTATATATATATATATATATATATATATATATATATATACTAATTACTAGCTGTATGTCATTACTTCGCTATGATGTAAAATAAATTGAATGTAGCTCTCTGAAGAAATAAGAAAAAACACACAATGTAGGCCGACAAAACAATAATTGTATCAATCTAAGCAATATATATATATATATATATATATATATATATATATATATATATATATATATATACACACTACATCCAAAAACATTGAACGTAACACAATCTGTTTTGTAATTCTTGTAAAACAATTTTCTTACATAATAATTCCTGGGAAATTATTTAAGACAAGTGAAATAGGGGAAATAATCACTTTCTTAATATAAATATGTATATATCTACACATTTAATTATAAATGTCAAAACAAATAATAATTACTTTAGATTATAATGAAATGGTTTAACACTATTTGTGTTTACAAAATGTTTTTGTCTATAATCAGAATTTAATATATCGTCATCATAAATGCTAAATATTACAGCATAATGAAAGATTTTAAAATCAGAGTTGGATAAAACCACACTTTTTGAAATTATAGAAAAACATTCGGAATAACAGCCTACGTTTAACTAATTATTGGTCTTTTAGTTCAGATCATATATTTTAATTAACTACTGCTTCTTTGTGTTCTTTAAAGATCATTTTTTAACATAGTGATAGGTATGGGTTAGATCACACAACTTTTTACTGGTAATTGCAAAAACAATATTCACAGAGTTTTACGTTTAAAAAGCTAATTTTCTGGCGGCATGGTACTTTGGTACATCATTACCCTTTTTCTACATGTACTTACAGATCAGTTTGGGGTGGGTTAGGGGGGGAGGGGGGATGTTCAACTTCATTCACCACTGTCCGTTCACTTTAGGTCAATTATCCAACCCGGTGTATACCTAGGTGTGACAATAATGTCGCTCTACACAATTGTGGTGGTGAGGTGTGTGTGTGTGGGGGGGGGGGGGGGGGGGCGAGAGATAACCAATTCAGAGTGAACATAGCGTCAGTTTTTAGATGACTGTTCTAAACATACATATATATTACACAAATATATATTACACAAATATATATTACAGAAATAGATTTAAATAAGTAGCAGTGGTATTATGACAATATTTTTTTTTACAGAGGGGTCCATGTGGGAGGGGGGGTTGTAACTGTTACATATAATTTGTAATCGTAATCACCATCGGCCAAACTGTAAGAATATTACTACTTCATCGTGATGACGTCCAAAATGTCCCCACCACTACGCAGTTTGCTCATAAGTAAATTAAATAGAGGTGCCACATAAGTTGTATTTGTTTCTGTATTGTAATTTTTTTTTAATTAATCACACGATTCAAACTGTATATATCAAGTAATTATGTGTGAAGTTTTATGTATAACATTTTCTAATTCAATTATTCGTAAGCAAATACATTATACAGTTGCCTTAAACTTAACACCCCTCTTGCCAGTGGTACTACCGTAGAGGTTTTTTAAACATTGCAATGCATCGTAATGTTTTTTTTTTTAGAATGGCAAACTGATGCAGCTGTTAATACGTGTTGTAAACGTAGACACTACTAAACTAGTACAATAATGTTTAATTGCTGCTTGAAAAGAAATCTTGTGATTTACATAGATGTGCCGACCAAAAATTTTTTTTAAAAAGTTTCCAAAAGGCGCCACTTTGCTGAAAATGGCCAGAGAGGGAGCAGTCGCTCCCCCTGCTCCCCCCCCCCCCCCCCTGCGTACGCTACTGGGTTAGGGCTAGGTTGTAGGGTTAGGGTTAGGTTTAGGGCTAGGGCTAGGGCTAGGGCTAGGGCTAGGGCTAGGGCTAGGGCTAGGGTTAGGGTTAGGGTTATTGTTAGGGTTAGGGTTAGGGTTAGGGTTAGGGTTAGGGTTAGGGTTAGGGTTAGGGTTAGGGTTAGGGTTAGGGTTAGGGTTAGGTTTTAGGGCTAGGGTTGTGTCTAGCTTTGGTTTTGGTTTTGTGTGAAGTTTTAGGCCAAGGTGGATGCTTAGGTTTTGGTCTTTTTCTTAAGGTTTGGATTAAAGTAGTATATAGGTTTAAAATTCTAGTTAGAGCTAGGATTTTAACTTGAGAGGGGGAGGGGTAATTTCCCGGGGGGGGGGGGGGAATTGACAGGGGGGTAATTGACAGGGGGGTAATTGCTCCGGGGGGGGGGGTAAATACGGGGGGAAATGTCCGGGGGGGGGGGAAATATCAGGGGGGGTAATGTCCTGTAGCCGTGTGTATATATATGTATACATACATATATACATATATACATATATATATTTAGCCTATATATATATATATATATATATATATATATATATATATATATATATATATATATATATAGATATTATATATATATATATATATATATATATATATATATATATATATATTGATTGCTGGTGTCCCATGTTTTAGGGACCGTGTCCTAGCCGCCAGTTTGTTGGAGTTTGGCCAAACCCTCTCCCAGGTCGGACAACAGGTGTTTTAGCGAGAATTTTGATGAACAGGTGAGATATGCACAGGTGTGTGTCCAGGTGAGATATGCACAGGTGTGTGTACAGGTGAGATATGCACAGGTTTGTGTACAGGTGTGTGTATAGGTTTGTACAGGTGAGATATGTACAGGTGTGTGTACAGACGAGATATGTACAGGTGTGGGGTACAGGTGTGTTCACACAGGTGTGTGTGTGTATACATATTGTTTATAGATATATATATATATATATATATATATATATATATATATATTATTATATATATATATATATATATATATATATATTTATGTAAATCTGTGTGCGTAGTTTTATTTACATTTGTGTACATGTGTACAACGTGGGTATAGACTAAACATAGTAATGTCCCCTTTTTTTAAATCTGTGGATCCTTGGGGCAGATGACGTAGAGATCACACATCAACACACATGAAGAGTGTGGTTCTCTCCATGCCCAGCAGTCTTTTCCTCTCCCAAAGTCAACTACTCATTAAGCCACTTATCTTAGTAGCCGTGCATTCTTCTATAACCCACCTAATATTTCCCAAAACCAACTTTTCTTAACCTCATGTCAGTTATAATCACATCTAACCAACTTTTTTTTTTACCACATTTAAGTTATAAAATATAATACCATCCTTTTGAAATTTTAGCTATGCCCAGCTGGTTTTACTTTTCCAAATTCAACTACCCATCAAGACATTTATCTTTGTAGTCGTGCATTCTACATCTAGACCACACCTCCTATCAGTGGCGTAGGCAGAGGGGGGAGGGTTAGGGGGGGTCATAACCCTTCCCCCATAGACCCCTCGTATATATATATAAAGTATGAGGGGGGGGGGGGTGCAAATCGAAAGTTTGAGGGGGGGGGGGTGCAAATCGAAAGTTTGTCCCCGCGTAAAAATTGGAACCCCCCCCCCCTTGAGACGATCCTGGCTACGCCACTGCCTCCTATAAATAAACATTTATGTCTCCACATGCAAGTTAAAATAACATCCCTTTGATATTTTAGGTCAACAACCTCCAACTCCCGAGAACGAACAAGTGAAATGAAGGCAGTCCACAGTTGTCGTCCCTGAACACTCGTCTCACTCTACAACTCCAGTTGATACCTATTGCTGCATGATTTTCTTGTCCTCAAATTAGAATTGTAAATGTAAATGATTATTAACTTGTTTTACTAAAAAGCTGTTTATTTCATAGTGAAAGGAGAATAATTTTTTAAAACCAGTGAAAGAAAATATTTGCTTATTAACTAATGAAAGAAAAAATCGTGTTTATTAATTAGTTTAAAAAATATTGGTTTATTAACGAGTGAAATAAATATCTTTACTTTAATTAAATGTTTTTTAATTAGTTAAAAAAATGTTGAAATAAAAGAATTGTTGCCTAAAACTGGCCGTGAACAAAAGTTTGTGTTTC